CAATATTTATAAATGGACTTTTAGCCAAAGAAGTCACAGCCTATTTAATCAGGAGACCTGTTTAAACAATGAGACATTCAAACAGATGGGCTGCAGCTACTTGTCACAGCTTTCCGCAGATTGGAAAGGCATGCTCAGATGATATGTAAGCAACACCAGGTCAGACATAAGCAATGGTAATGGGAGGAGACATGTGTCAAATTTACTAATATAATAATAATAAAAATATTTATTTATATCCCGCTTTTCCCCCTAAATGGGACTCAAAGTGGCTTATATTATACAAAACAATATGCATATGTAAAACAATCTATAAAACAATTTTTCAATAAAAAAAACATGTGTCTGATACAATTATTGCAGGTGATTCAACAAGACAGATAGTAAACATTAACATGGCTCAATAAAAGTTAGCCTTCCTGTCATTACAGCTAAGTGTCTCACTTTTCAGATTACAGTCAGCCCTCCACATTTTCTGGGGTCACAGGCATAGGGCTTCTGCAAAAGTGATAATCCACAAATTACAAATGCAATTTTTTACCTACGATAATACCTCCTAAGAATCTCGAGGTCCTACAGCATAAATGTATGATCAACTTCTGCTAAACATTGAGCACACAATCACATTGGAAGACCTAGAGATTCCTACAGAGAACATTTTAATAAAATTTAATCACAATCTTTCAAATGTGAGGGCTGCCTGCAATATTGATTTGTGACCCTTCAGATGTTGCTGGGGAGATGTATTGATTGGGTAATGGATCTGCATTCAAACAACATCTGGAGGGCCACCTGCTCCCATCTTTAATTCAACGGTTCCATAACCATTGCTAATTTGAAAGATCTTGGTTGAACTGTTCCTTGGTGTCAAAACAGCTTGCTGATCCTGAAGGGTAGGATGCAAACATTTGAGTAGGGGGCTTATAATGGATTGTGTCAGGTCTTTCTTCCAGTCATTTTAAGTCATACTGTGCCACTTACTCATACATATTTTAGAAGACTTTTAACATTCATTCCGGAGCACTTTGTACATTGTACAAGACCATGAATGTGCCATTAGATACAGGCTTTAAACACCAGCAGAAAAAAAGTTTTGGAGTATCTCATGCAGAAAACACCAAGGTATAGATATTGTGGATTATTTTAGACTAAGGTTTATTCTACGCTGTCATATAAAATCCAGATTATCTGCTTTGAACTGGATTATATGGCAGTGTGGCATTCTTGAGTTATATTCCATCTTATTTTATGACTCGTTTTATTTCTGGTGATTTAAATTGTTTGACTTGTTATGTTATGTGTATTATTATTATTATTATTATTATTATTATTATTATTATTATTATTATAGTTTTGTTGTAAGCTGCTCTGAATCCCTTTGGGAAATGGGGCAGGTTTGAAAAAAAGCTTAATTCATTCATTCAATGTAGATTCATATAATCCAATTGAAAACCGATGTGGATTATCTGCTTTGAAAATCTGGATTATATGGCAGTGTAGAAGGGGCCTAAGATTGCAAGAACTCAAAAATTGTGCATCTGACAGGCATGGGCAAACTTGGGCCCTCCAGGTGTTTTGGACTTCAACTCCCACAATTCTCTAACAGCCTACCGCTGTTAGGAATTGTGGAGTTGAAGTCCAAAACACCTGGAGGGCCCAAGTTTGCCCATGCCTAGATAATAATAATAATCATGTTTTGCCTGAAGAAGAGAAGGATGAGAGGAAATATGATAGCCATGTATAAATATGTGAGAGGAAGCCACAGGGAGGTGGGAGCAAGGTTGTTTACTGTTTCCATGGAGATTAGGACAAGGAACAATGGCTTCAAACTACAAGAAAGGAGATTCCATCTGAACATGAGGAAGAACTTCCTGACTGTGAGAGCCGTTCAGCAGTGGAACTCTCTGCCCGGAGTGTGGTGGAGGCTCCTTCTTTGGAAGCTTTTAAACAGAGGCTGGATGGCCATCTGTCGGGTGTGCATTGAATGCAATTCTCCTGCTTCTTGGCAGGGGGTTGGACTGGATGGCCCATGAGGTCTCTTCCAACTCTATGATTCTATGATTCTATTATACTAAAGATTCAGTACATTGCTACAATGGGAAATTTTAAAAGGTAAAGGTAGTCCTCTGACATTGTCCAGTCATGTCTGACTCTGGGGTGTGGTGCTCATCTCAATTTCTAAGCCGAAGAGCCAGTGTTGTCCGTAGACACCTCCAAGGTCATGTGACCGGCATGACTGCATGGAGCACCGTTACCTTCCTGCCAGAGCGGTACCTATTGATCTACTCACATTTGCATGTTTTTCGAACTGCTAGGTTCGAACTGTAGTATATACAGTACATAATATATATTGTTGTTGTTCATTCGTTCAGTCGTCTCCGACTCTTCGTGACCTCATGGACCAGTCCATGCCAGAGCTCCCTGTCGGCCGTCACCACCCCCAGCTCCTTCAAGGTCAGTCCAGTCACTTCAAGGATGCCATCCATCCATCTTGCCCTTGGTCGGCCCTCTTCCTTTTACCTTCCACTTTCCCCAGCATAATTGTCTTCTCTAAGCTTTCCTTTCCTCCTCATGATGTGACCAAAGTACTTCAACTTTGTCTCTATTATCTTTCCCTCCAGTGAGCAGTCGGGCTTTATTTCCTGGAGAATGGACTGGTTGGATCTTCTCGCAGTCCAAGGCACTCTCAGAACTTTCCTCCAACACCACAGTTCAAAAGCATCTATCTTCCTTCGCTCAGCCTTCCCTAAGGTCCAGCTCTCACATCTGTAGGTGAGTACAGGAAATACCATGGCTTTGACTAGGCGGATCTTTGTTGCCAGTCTGATATCTCTACTCTTTACTATCTTATCGAGACTCGACATTGCTCTCCATTATTTCTATATATTATTATTATACCACAATACATATAATACACTACCAGTATATTATTGTTGTTGTTCTATTAGTATTATATAATATATTGTACTATATCATAAGTAGTATATATAATACTATATTACATTATATATATATATATATATATATAATTAGTATTATTACATTGCAATTATATTTCTATATATTATTATATTGTATAAAATTATTATATAATATTTAAAAAATCCAATATTGCACAGCTCTGAGCCATAGCAGGGCTGTTGAAGGCTCCAGCGCTGCAACTGGGTATGTATTTTTCCACATGGAGGAGTCCCGCAGCTGCAGTCGAAATCCGGAAGTTTGATTGGAACGTCTCGAAGGCCGACCTCTCGGGCCTCGATTGCCCCAGTGCGCACGCGCAATACGCTGGAGCACTGGTCCAAGTTCAAACGAGGGACGCCGCAGTGGAGAGAGAGCGCATGCTCGAGTCTTCCTCCTTCAGCCAAGGAGACAGCACTAACGCGCATGCGTCATCTGGGAGCCTTCGCAGGCGCAGGCGCAGTGTCGTCGCCGGCTGAAGCGGGCGGATTCTGAGGCTGGAGGCGGAGGAAGAAGAAGAAGGCGACGACGAGGGGAGCCCGCTGCCGCCTCATGTATCAGGGGAGCCGGGCGGTGGCCGGGCGCCTCGGGCCCCGCTGCCCTTGGAGGTGGGAAGGAAGAGGAGGCGGCGGCGAGAGGCTTCGGCAAGGCCAGGGCGACACGGCGCGGTGCTGCCACCGAGCGCGGCCGCGGGTGAGAGAGAGAGAGAGGGCGAAGGGGGGAAACCGCTGAGAGACAGCCGAAGGGGGCGTGGCCTAGAGCCAGGGGGCGTGGCCAGGCTCACTGGGGGCGTGGCCAGACTGCCAGATCCCTTTGGATCATTATGGGAGGAGTCAGACTGGGAGACACGTGTATACGAGTAACGTGGGAATGAAACATTTGAAAAAGAATAATACAAGCCTGTAGTAATATTAATATATTACTAGTTTGTAGACTTTGTAGGTGGGATGGGCATCCCAAGCCACCTTGTCTCTCTCCTGAGGAATCTGTACAAGGACCAAGTAGCAACAGTCAGAACTGACCACGGAACAACAGACTGGGTTCAAGATTGGGAAAGGCGTACGGCAAGGCTGCATACTCTCCCCCAACCTTTTAACTTGTATGCAGAACACATCATGCGATGTGCGGGGCTTGAT